TTCCCATTGATCCTTAGTTGTGAATGATATCTTTTGAGACTGATCGGATAACGAAACTGGCCGATAGGCAGCCATCTTGGATTTTGGCAGTGAAGGTTTGTTATCGCTATTTCTCAGGAAGTACTAAAGGGATCTTTCTCAGATTAGTTATGTAGGTTCCCCATGGTCCTTTATTGTGCAAGATGCCCAACAGGTGACTTTGAAGTTTTATTGGTGCTATATCTCAAGAAGTGCATAAATGATCTTTCTCAAATTTGATATGACGGTATATGATATGAAGAGCAATGATCCTTAGTTTTACATGTTTTATTTTGAGAGTGATCATAAAAAACAAGATGGCTGAAAGAACAAATTAACAAATGCTTCTCATATAATAATGACCGGTTCTATTTCCAGTAAATATGTGAAACGACAAACTCACTTTGAAGGTTGTCTTGTATACACAGTAGTATTAAGTTCAAAACAAAATTTACCTCTAGGTGTGTTTACTGTAAACATGGCACGATAAGATTTTTCATATACATATTCATAAAAACTGTATAATTACCAATAGAAGATGGCATTCCTATCAGCCGTCCGACCATCAATTGTGCGTCATTTTGGCAATGCATGCGCGTAACACACCATTTCATTGTAAACAAAATTGCTTGCTGTGCAAATGTTAGTGAGTGAAAATTGTTATAGCGTCAGTAAGTTACAACAAGTTATTGAAGGTCGAAATCATCATAAAGTGCCTTAGCAAACGGAACGTGTTCTTTATTCTTCTGTATAGTTGGTATAAGTAGTTGATTACAGCTGACTTGTTATCAAGTTTATTGGTGGGTTTTTTTGTGTGAATAATACCGAAAAGTATATATTTGGCTAATATGGGATACGAATAAAGACACTTTGTTATGTAAATGGCCATGTCCATATACTCGATGTAGGGAAGAGATCAGTTAGCTTCTGGTTAGCATGATGTTGCGATGGGGCCCTTCGGAGGATAATTATTGGTATGAGGTGTAAGAAATAATGTGGTGTTGTTTTTTTTAGTCTAATGACAGATGCAAGAAAATGAAAATGACGGTCCGATATGATAATACCTGAAGAGGATAGACCCTAATCGGATCACGTACATACATATGTAACAAAAACACTCTTAAACCGTTCATGCCAAAGTTACTGTTGAAACATAAAGCAGAATTAGAATGAATAGCCGTGTTACAAATAGCATCTGAAGACGTATTGAAAACTGAAACAAAATTGTTTGTTCACGTTGTAAAAATGGCGCGTGCGACCGTGGATTATGCCTTCTGTTTCGGAAAATAGGAACAAATTCAGACTATTGCAATACTTTCATTTATTGAAAATCTAGCGATTAGTAGGAGGGAGGAGGGGGGCATTTTTTTTAATACCGGGATTGGACCGATTCATATTGTTTTTACTAAAGTTTAAGTTCTTTGGCCAGGAAAATAATAAAAAAAAAGCATAAAAATGTCCCTCGCATGCTGTTGTGTTCCGAAAGCCAATGTCACATTACAAGGGAACAGATTATGTAAAAATTAGATCGTCATAAAAAGATTCGTTTCAGATATGATATAAATTTCCATATGATGCATATATGATCGAGGGCTGTCTGACAGAAGAGTATGAAAAGAGTGAAATAGGAATACATGAACACATGAATTGCCTGGAAAAAGTGTTCAATGGCTTGAATATTTCTCGAGAAAGATAAGTCTGTCCCATGGTCATGTAAGGATTTTAAAAGGGGGCTAGGGGTGAACGATGTATTCATTTGAATATTGCCATGTGTACAACTAACTTCCATATGATAAGTACCACTGCTAATGTGATTTGATCCGTTTCAACACGGACGTAAATGGAATCGTTTTCTTGGTTTCAAAGCGGGATAAAGAAATACAAAATGCATCCCTCTCTCATTCGGCTCCTTTGTCACTGCTTGTGTTTATAAATGATTTTGCCCCGTTCGAAATCACCACGTGACGTAATCGGAGCTACATTTAAAGGAGTTTTCCCGTACAAATCGAGTGGTCAAACTGGACATTTTAAAAAGACTGACTTTGGGGATGCCAATGAAAGATAACTGACAGTGCAGACAACACTACATTAAATAACTGAGATATTTCTGTTAGAGCCATGTCCCTTTAATGGACAATCAATACCAAATTGGTAATCATATCGAGCACGTTTTATCAAAAAAACTGTTCTATTAACGATATTAAAGTATTCCTTTTGAAAAGAACGCAATGGTCGTGACACTTGAGAAGTCAATAACGATGTAATTATGGCAGCACTGAGGATCAAAGGCAGCAAATTAGACGAAAGACAAACAACAACCATGGTCGTAAAACCAAATACGTTAACATTAATAAAAGCATTAAAAACACAGGAGTGGCCAATTTTATTTAACGGAATTGTCTCAACTTTGATGATTTAAACAGATTAAATCTGGTTGCATAATGAAAACAAGGTAGCTCAAGTGACACAAAACACTTCGCATACACATGGAGACTGACACATTTACTTGCAAAAAACTACTATTAGAATTGCGACCTTTTTGTATCATAGAGCAAAACATCCGTCTCCCTTATGCCAGATACTTTTCTATGTGTCAGTACCGCACAGGACAAGAATGTAACTGACGGAAAAATTGTGTATTACTCAACAAACGACGACAGTTCGGAACTCTTCTTTTAATGTACTACTATCCTTGGTCTTCATATTTCGTAACGTCTGGCTTGGCATTACTTCAATTGAAGCTATATTTAGACCGTTTGCCCATGTCGGGAAGTCCTTGAAATGTTGCGTAGTCATTGCTCCGCGCTAAACGTTCAGCGTCGGTAGGCACAGCGACTGGTTTAAAATTTACCCGTTGTCAATATGTGACAGGGTGAAGTGATAATGCTGGATACCTTCGACATTGTCTTTCAGGTTGCACTCTATATGTTAGCAAAATCATTGCGTTATCGCGCTATCGTAAGGAGGAAAATACACCAAGATACCGTCTTCAACGTAACGCTCCTTCGTACATTTCACACATGGAGACACGTATTTAAATTTCCTCCTCTATTAATAGGACGTTTTACCCAACAAGAGAAACATAGTCATATGGTGTGCTTATGACAACAGTGTTTTATACGATTGAGTTGACAAAGATTTTTAATCTTTATGTGAAATCGATTAATTTAAAAAATATCTGAATTATTAAATACCTGTTATTATAAGATCTGACCACTCCACTGGGTGCTTAGGTTAGCAGATTTTAACATCTACCATTAAGTTCCTATTGGTGTAACAAGTTGTGTTAGTAGCCTTAGTATTGTTAGGCCTTTTATGGCTTGACCTTTAGTAGGCCTTTTAGCAATTAACTAATCAAGGACAATGTTACATTAGAAGACCTCGACGAAACTGTAGAGAAACAGTTCATTTTGGCGGCACGATCTCTAAACAGTATGAAGGCCTACGGAAACAAACTATGCCCCATTCCTACCGTTAGATTTGCTGAAGAGGTTATCAATGCTGAAACAACAGCGTTGCAAAGTCCTTCAATTACACTTTAATATATATCTACTATCTACGATGTTTAAATAACAAAAAAGAATATGATTCACCAGGCAACAGATATATACATGTAGCTTCCTGAACGTGAATTCAGTGACGCTAAAGCCTCTCCTTCATCACCCGCACTCTTCCTCTTTTAGCCCACCATCATCATGGTGGGTTACGTAGTCCCTCAGACGTCCTTAAACAATTCGTGTTATCGTTGTTACTCAAGAAGTACTGTTTTGAACTTTTCAGATTTCTAACGAATGCTTCCCTGTGCCCTTTATTGTACATTTTTATTTTCTGACGGATCGGAAAAACAAGAAAGCCACCAGGCAACGATCTTGGATTTTGCTAGTTTAAGTTTGTATCACTCTTTCTAAAGACATACATGACACGTCTTTCTCAAATTGAATTTGTATGTTTCCCGTGGTCCATAGTTGTGTATGTTTAATTTTAAGGGATACGTTTGATACCGATATTTCTATAGAAGTAAACATTGACCTCTTCTAAAAATAGGACATTCTCAAACCTAGCTGTATGAAATGTTACTCAAGATTGATGGTGGTAAAATCGAAATCTTGATTTTACCACAAGATGCATTTACTGCTGACAAAACTCTAAATCAAACAGAAAGGAAAAATGAACAGAAAAGATCAAACTTACATAGGACTCATGAAGTTCCTGGGATGATGAACACGGAGCTCCCTCCAAGCTCTCTTCCGTTTAACAATCAATCCCATAAAGCTAAAAACCCTTTGATTCCGATTGTTTATTTTCCATTATGCTTGATAACAACATTCCTTCTTCCCAAACCGGCGGAGTTTATATGTCGCAGACGATTCGGTATCTAAGAAATTTCTCAAAATATTATTACCTAAGCGATATATATCGACTGCTGACTGACAACCATACAATACAGGGAATTCTGGAGGCAGGTTGATGAAGACTATGGTCAAGTTTAATTGTCCCCACCATGAATGATCTTAATAGATTAAATGTTTTTTCTTTGTGTGTTAGAAGGTCGATCATATTGATTTTGATGTCACTACCGAAGTTCACACAATGTAGTGTTACATCGCTTGGACTTGGCCGAGGGCTACATGAAAGGATTTGTTGATGAAGTAAAAGACGCCGACATTTCCAGAGCAACTTGTTAAATTGTCCTTTTGTCTTTTAAGGGTCTTCATGTAAATCTTTCCTTTGTTCATATCGGTCAGTATTTTTCCAAGTATTGTTTCTTTTGAAAATTCAGTATTTTGTTTTTACAGGTTTTAAGTTTTCTTAGAGAATCTTAATGTAATCATCTTATCTTATGTATTTATAACTACATCCGTAAAATTGACTGATCATACTGTTGGAATTTAAAGCGTATATACAGACCGTTTTAATGAAGATGTTGAGTACTTTTTTTGAGAAATTGTTATCAAGAAAACATAAATACAACAGAGACGATGTTTGTGAACAAATCATTTGTATTTCGCTGTTCCGTTTATAATGTCAAACTGATGATGGAAACGCCAAACATTTTCTCGTTTCTAACTGCAAATGTGAAATTAAAAAAAGAGTAAAATCAATACATATTCAAAACCAATATCATTTTACTATATTTGGTTAGTTCTATCAAAAACAACTAAGCCATCCATGTTTATAAGTTCGTGCAAATGCTATATTTATCAAATATGGTCAATTGAGATAGGGTGGTATTATGATAGGCCTTGCAGTATTATATACAACAGAATCTGTCTCACGTTACATAAGTTAGTGTAACTATAAGACTCGTAATAGTTGATACACTGGGTCCAGTCACTTTATAGGTTAATGTAAATAAAAGGAACGCTGAATTAGATTCACCGGACCCAGTGACATGTTATATAGGTTAGTGTAAATATAAGGAACGCTGAATTAGATTCACCGGTCCCAGTGGCATGTTATATAGGTTAGTGGAAATATAAGGACCGTAGAATTAGATTCACCGGGCACAGTGACATGTTATATAGGTTAGTGCAAATATAAGGAACGCTGAATTAGATTCACCGGTCCCAGTGGCATGTTATATAGGTTAGTGGAAATATAAGGACCGTAGAATTAGATTCACCGGGCCCAGTGACATGTTATATAGGTTAGGGTTAATAAAAGGAACGCTGAATTAGATTCACCGGGCCCAGTGACATGTTATATAGGTTAGTGTTAATAAAAGGAACGCTGAATTAGATTCACCGGGTCCAGTGACATGTTATATAGGTTAGTGTAAATATAAGGAACGCTGAATTAGATTCACCGGGCCCAGTGGCATGTTATATAGGTTAGTGTAAATATAAGGACCGTAGAATTAGATTCACCGGACCCAGTCACATGTTATAAAGGTTAGAGTAACTATGAGGACGGTAGAAGTAGATTCAGCGGGCCCAGACAAATGCTAAATAGGTTAGTGTAAATAAAAGGACCGTAGAATTAGATTCACCAGGCCCAGTCACATGTTATATAGGTTATTGTAACAATAAGGACCGTAGTATTAGATTCAACGCCCCAGTCACATGTTATATAGGTTAGTGTACATATAAGGACCGTAGTTTTAGATTCAACGGGCCCAGTCACATGTTATATAGGTAAGTGTACATATAAGGACCGTAGTTTTAGATTCAGCGGGCCCTGTCACATGTTATATAGGTAAGTGTCCATACAAGGACCGTAGTTTTAGATTCAGCTGGCCCAGTCACATGTTATATAGGTTAGTGTACATATAAGGGCAGTAGTGTTAAATTCACCGAGCCCAGTCTTACTGGACGTGAGTTCGTGAAAGTAAAAGACTGGTTGTATTTTATAAGCAGGTTTTCGTCACACGAGAAAGGGTTTGTGAAGGGCCAAAAGAAAGTTTTAGTTTCTTGAAACATAAAATGTTGATTCAATATTTCTCAATTTATAATTTTGTTTGCATATCTCGTAACATAAAATCTTAAAATAATATTTATTTACTTTTTGATAATTTTGTTTTCATATCTTGTCACATAAAATGTAAATAAGATGACCTTTAATAATGCTATAATAGTAATTGTCACATAAATTGTTAAAAGATATGTATTTCTTTATAATTTTGCGTACATATCTTGTAACATAAAAAAAATAATACAATATTAATTTAATTATTGATTTATAATCTTGTTAAAATACCTTGTGACATAAAATTATGATTAAATATTAACAAATTGGTTTACAATTTTATTTACATATAATTATTAATAAGGTATTAATTTCTTTGAAATTGTGTTTACAAATCTTGTAACGTAAAATGCTAGATAACGTACGTCTAATGTTCTGGAGATGAAACCGAGGGTTTGGCCACTGGAGCTCCGACCATGTATAATTTGTGGCTGTTACACATCGAGCTGATAATGTGCGTGTGTTTGGCCACCTGGTCACTGGTCAACTGCTCCTCACCGCCGGACATCATAGCCATCATTTGAAGCTACAAGAAAAAAACATGACTGTAAATGTGAAGGAAGGCAGCGCATATTTAAAAAAGGGTCAGTACATATAGACAATCATCTCAATTATGTGAGAAAATACTTTTAGCACCATGTGGCAGTTTCGTCATATAGGTACACAAGATCAAATAATAAAACAATTCGTTGTGAAAATGTTCCAAAACACATGAGTGGGAAGACAATTTTCATTTATAAATGTTACAAATTGACAACATTTTCCCGAATCGACATTTTTTTCAGAGTAATAATTTATGGAAACCACGCGAGAATAAGTTACTGCAACGATCGAAAACTGATAGTCTACTTGCAGAGTCAACCACCTTTAAATGTAGAATAGTTCCTAGATACACGAACTAAAGAAGTAATCATTTATCAAATTGACGTCAGTAAGTATTTACTACACTATATGACCATTTTATCCATTAAGAACTCATCAGCAGTGATAAGCGATATGTCACCATGATCATGTCGTGAAAATCAGTCTGTTGACCATTGGAAACTGCGATGGTCAGGGCTGTGGGCATTTATCGGCTTGGTGTTTTGGTTGCGGAGATCGCGAGCTCCGAGTCCCGGGCAGTCGAAATATTGTCATCCTTTGTAGCGTACATATATATTGATGCATTATAACCCATTTGTTTATATTCATTTCGAGAAACGAAACCGTTGGGATTAGTGACATCAAATGCATGCCTTTCACAGCGCATCCATTTAAATGATAGTACATATATATATTGAAATAAATGTGACGTTAATACGACACTTCATAAAATCAAGATAACTATATAAATTAATCCTTGTAAAGCAATTCTTCTTCAATCGTATTTAAGCATACCTCCAAATTCTCCAAACCATGATTGTGTACGCTGGTCTGCTGGTCGGTGGTCAAGGGCATGAAATAGCAGGTTGAGTGGGTACTGGATATCAGATAGTGCTGTAAATCATTATAACGCTTGTTATATATCATGCGCGATAGACGTAATGTATAACATACACGTAAATACACTATAAATATATTAATTTCCTATATGTAAAATTTTAATCAATATTATTTCATAACGTAAAGAACTTTGTTTTTCATTGGGTAATATGTTCTGTCATTGGAAGAATCATATGTAGTTTTTATTGTAGTTTTATCTTACATTTTCCCGTTCTTAAATTCGACAATGTGGTATACAGTTTGAATATAAGGAAAACGTCTATCTTACATTATCAATCATAGATGAGAGAAACGTATTTCTGATTACTTTTAGTAATGTCGGCAAATAGAACACGGTCAAATCGCGGTATACAAAAAAAAAATACAGGCTTTAAATTCCATAGTATAATAAATGATTATAGTACAAGCAAAAATCGGAAATACTTTCTAGTTTTAGCACATACCGAATCGGGATCGTAAACGAAGTTGACTGAGCCTTGCTCTGGATGCTCATGGTTACCACCGGAAATGAAACCCCCAGGATGATGGTGGTGGAACTGAAAAAATGTTTTTCAAAGCAGTGACGCTAATTTTGTTTCAAACCAACGAATGCATTATTACGTATTGATAATAATGAAGCCTCGATAATCAAATCGCTATTCTCATCAAAACAAACCCAGCTTCCGACACTCATACACACATGCACGCATACACAAAAAACATGGAGGCTCGTCCTTAACTGACCTTAGCTGTTAAAAGGACGTTAAACTTAATAGACTAAACCTCATTAAAACTAATTTGGAACAGAGACAACTGGGTTTGTTTAGTTTGTTTGTGTAATGTATGTGTGAATGTGTCAAGTAGACAATATGTTGCAGTATTTGCCCCCTTGCGAGGTAACAATAACCTGGTGCAGATCGATATAAGAGTGCTACCTTATTGAAAAACTTTGCTCAAGGCACATAGCACAGTATTCCGCCGAGTCACATTGTTATGACAATGGGTAAACCAGTTGTTTTGATTATCTTAATTTCTGAACGTTAGGCGAATAAAAGCTACCGTTGGTGACTGGATTTTAAGACAGTTTTTTTTATATATTGATATAAAATATCATGAACTGATAGTGACCCACATAACCGGTTATGAATTTATCGAATCTGAAGATTTATATAATTAGTTGCATATTTTTCACATTGAAATTATGAAAAATTAGCGTCATTTATTTTTGTAAATGAATAAACGAAATTAAAGAACAAGGGGTAGCTTGAATTGTGAAAATTACACAATATTGTTTTTTCCCTTCTCCAGTGTATGCTGTAAAGGAGTATTGGTATTGATTGATATACATGTTCACTTACTTTGCCAAGAACAGTACATACTATCCTCGTTTATTTCTAAAGAAAAACTTGCGTAAACTATAACTGGTTTACAGATAAAGGTATAAAACTATTAACAACCATTTATCTTAAATATTTGATGTTGGAAATAAATATCCTAAACGAACATACCTGGCATACAGCTAGGGAAAATAAAGTGATGAGTACGGCTGGTCTGAACATGTTGGCTACAGCGATTCAAAAATGACCTATCACTAATATCGTGACATATAAAGCAAAATGTTGACAAACAGTCAAGGACATGATCAGCATATCCTTATCAGGTGTCCTACATATAGCTGATCACGTGGTCTTTGACTTACGATCATGGATTTGCTTACAGTTACATGAGAATTTTCGATATGATACCATCAAAGTCAACAGCTGTCATATTCGGCAAACACCTTTCTGTTGAGGTGCAATAATTAGAGCCATGCTTAGGAATTAGTTTCTCTGCAATATCCCATTCCTTGCTTACTCAAGAGGATTTCGAATTGGTTCGCTGCAGTATCGGGGGTTGTCTGTGCTTTTAGCATAGGGATGTGCAAGAGTGATGAGCCTACCTTCAGTATACCCGATGGAACAGTTACCGTTTTCGTATCATCTTGTATAACCTTACTGTTGTAAATGGCCGTAAGACTTCTAGTTTTAAATCACTATTCCGGACACAATGTTCGAAGTTAGGTAAAAAATAGACAATATTTAACCCTTGCGTGTTACACCTACTCTCAGCTTAATATTTCACTAAAATCAAACCAAATCTTACGATGGCCGATAGCAGCCGACACAAAACAACTACAATATAAGACATTTGTGTACATGTACACTTTTTAAAAACTGTACATGTACACAATACAACTACAATATTGGACATTTGTGTACATGTACCCTTTTAAAAACTGTACATGTACACAATACAACTACAATATTGGACATTTATGTATATGTACACTTTTTAAAAACTGTACATGTACACAATACAACTACAAGTGCTATTAACATTCCTTAACGGTTCGGGTCAACTTGATATTTCACACGTGCCTGATGCGGCGGTGAATTTAAAGACCAAACGACAAGGAAAGGGAAAATGTTCATAAATCAGCGAAGAGGCGATAGAGGTCACCACACAGTGTTGCTACATAGACTGTACAAAATATTTCACTAGTTGATGCTTGAAGGCGACTTAATATCATCACCTGAAAATGGATATACTAGAAAAGTTTGACATGAGTAATTATCAAGTGTTTAATTTTCTTAATATTTTCTTTGTATGTTGATTGGTCTTATTTCCTATTTTTAATTTGAAAGAAATGTAACAGACATAAACCATCGTTATACGCATATCTATGTGGGCTTTACCTAATGTATGGATTGGAGTCATAAAGTAGAACGTTGCCTTGTTCAGTGTGAATAGTTGAGTGCTAAAGTCAAATATAATATAATACTTACTGTAACAAAAGTTGTATGTAGATTGTTCTGAGAGAAATAACTAGTGTTTTATACCAAAGGCAATAGCCTCCAAACTTGTGAATATGTCACATGGAACACTTTAAATTACGTATTTGGGGTTATTGAGTTAAAATTATAATTCTACATACAAATTAAGTAACTACATGTTTTTGTTTTGTCTCCAACCATTACTCCAAAATTCACATACAAATTATATGATATTTGGTATACCTCTGATTTGTGACCGTCTAGTACTGTTTGACTTCTGTGGAATCTAGTAATGTCCTTTTCGTTTATTAGCCGCCGTATCAGACACGTGTGAAATATCAAGTTGATCCAAACCGTTAAGGAATGTTAATATCACTTGTAGTTGTATTGTGTACATGTACAGTTTTTAAAAAGTGTACATGTACACAAATGTCCAATATTGTAGTTGTATTGTGTACATGTACAGTTTTTAAAAAGTGTACATGTACATAAATGTCTTATATTGTAGTTGTTTTGTGTCGGCTGCTATCGGCCATCGTAAAATCTTGCATTTGATATTATAACAAATGTCATATTTAGTTTGGAAGATAACGAATCAACACTTTTTGACTTCAAAATAAACGTTATTCTTCAGTTTCATTTAAGATCAAATCCGACAAACTCCATTTACCAAAGTGTCTTCCATCATAACTGTTTAACGTTACTTGAAATAAATAAATGGCCGATTCCATCGGTTTGTTGTCGATTATCCCAAGTGCTTTAAGATATTGGAATCAGATATTTCCACAACATGATGTCAAACAGTGCCTTAGTTGTCTCCAATGATCATTAAGTTGCTTGCGATCAATATTTCACTTCACGCTTAAAGTAAATCTACTGTTTAACCTGCCGAATTTAAGACGTTTTTCTTTACTTGCACTATATCTTTACCCGCACTATATCTTTACCCGCACTATATTTTTACTTTTTCAGTACTCTACCCGTAGCATCATGTTGACTGATTGTTCTAAGGATGGATATACAGTCGCTGCAGCATTTCTTCCGGGTGATGTCTCACCATCTTGTCGACTTCGTTATGTTGCTTCGATTTTCATAACCGAGGCAAGGGTTATCAAACTTTGCAATTTAATCACTGCTTACAAGGAAACTCGAAGAGCTAGTATATGCTCTGGTTCAGTTTTGTTCTTTTTAGGTCCTAAATATATCGTAACCTGAAAAAGTCATATCCAAAAACTGCTAATTAGACTTCATTTGATATCTAAAATATATCGTGTGATCCTTTGCTGGGTACCAGGTCATGTTGGAATCGTTAGAAATGAACGAGCGTATGAGACAGTAAAGCTGGCCTTACACAACATCAAACCACCATGAAATTATCATATTCAGATTTCAGACTGTATATTGATTATTTTAATACACAACTGATATAGGCGATGGACGGAGTGTGATAATGATACACCCTTAAGAATATCTAACCTTTAATAAATAAGCGGTTTCATTTTCAAAGGAACGGTAATGAATGGGGAGGTTGTTTTTGCTCGGTTCAGAACGAGACATACATTGATTAATCATGCACTTCTACTTAAGGGTGAAGGTCAACCTTTCTGTTTCGCTTTGAGTACTTCATTTAATGTTAAACCTTCCATGGTCAGGTTGAGTGATATGAAACAGGTTCGTGGTATATATCTCGATGAACAAAGCCTGAAAGACCTTTTTGAACAATTCCATATGGCAGTTATTATTGAGTACATTCAGCAATAAGAATTATATAATAAAATGTAGCTTTTATACTGCTCGTATGCTACATATTGATAAAATTGTATCAGTCGTGACCTCTGCGATGCATTTGATATATATGGAAAGTCTTTTTATGATTTGTTTTTATTCTTTGAGCCCCAAATAACCTTTCGTAGAGGTGTCGTTAAGCTTGAACAAACAAACAATGTCATCAACCAAAACACAAAGATGACATATAACAGTCCTTAAAATGATAGTTTTAATCTCTGCTAAACGTTAAGCCTTTAGAGTTATCGCAACATTTGATTTACCTATTGATGATGTGAGCGGGTTGAATACTTGTTGCAGTAGGCTTTGTACTGCAGTGAGATACATTGAGCATTCTAACGTCGGAATCATATCCGCGCTATCGTAAAAAGGCCATCAAACCAAACAAACCGCGTCAAACACATATTCACACATACACACATACATTTAAAACATTGAAGCACGTCCTTGGATGACTTTAAGATGTCAATAGGACGCTACAACTAATCAAATCAAACTCCATCTTCTGATTATGGTTTTGATATTGATGATACTCTCATTGTTCTGAAACCGATAACGATACCTTGATGACGGATAAATATTTTTTTAACAATAACAATGTGCAGCGTGCCGTAATTATGTCACTGTAACCTTCATGAAAAGGTCAATTAAAGAAATATTAATGAAACTGGAAATGAACCTGTATCACCAACAAACAGTGAACCGGGTACAGCAATGATGTCTCCTCAAGAGTAAAGATCAAATGAGCGCTAAAATAATTCCTTACAAATGGTCTTTGCTATACTTTTTAAACCGTTGATGATATGGTATTGAAAAATAAAGGGCATCTATATTTAGAGTAACCACAACTACTGCTTTACACTTTGTCAGTATACTGCGAACGTGTGGAATGCTGTGCTGGGTGCTTTCGGCATGATATTTCAGTAAGGTAGCACTCTAAAAAGAGCATTAGATCTGCGTTATCGCAAAGAGACAAATACACTAACATACCCTGCCTTCAGCACACACGCATACACTACACACATGAAGGCGCATCCAAAATTCCCGTAACTGTTAATAGGGCGCTAAACCCTACTAATTCCGATAGAAAATAAGCACCTGCATCACCTACTGAACTGACCATTATACACCTTTTATGACTTTTGATATTCAGTGTCGGATAAGTGTTGATTTTTGTCCTGATAAGCATGCTGTTAAGACGGTAAAAGATTTCAGGATTAGACCCCATTTGAAGTGTACCACCACCTTACAACTAAGATGTATAGTTTACCCTATTTAGATGCAAATCAACGAAAGACGTACGTTTTTGTTCAATTAAATCAATCATCTAGTTACAAGGCGTCTTTATTATCGCATATCGGTATCTCTATTAATGGAGCAGTTAAATGAATAAATTTACGACGTTAAGCTTCTCTATTTAGACAGATACAGTTATGCAATAACAAAAGTGATTAATTACCAGCGTTTTGATCTTACTGAACAAAAACTAACGTTGGTCTTTTCCTCCAAGTCTTGAATAGTTTTCAGCACGAACATGCATTCACATTTTGTGGTTTACAACAAATAATTTCTTTAACAAGCACAATTGTGCGATGACCTGTAACGCTAAGCTTCAAATCAATTCCCTCTGATGCTATTGATAAATATATACAAAAATACAATGAATCAACAACTGTATTTCCAACAGTCAATGCAAACCACCAACGTGACGCCCTTTGTACTGTTTTGAGGCAGAATCTCTCTTATATGTCAATATAAGTATGAGTACGGCAGTTGAAATTTATATTAACTGATGAACAGTGCATGGTGTCCGCCAGTCCGATTGAGTGGTATTCCTATGTAGGGCTTAATGTCCGCCAGTCTGATTGAGTGGTATTCCTATGTAGAGCATAATGTCCGCCAGTCTGATTGAGTGGTATTCCTATGTAGGGCAGGGTGTCCGCCAGTCTGATTGAGTGGTATTCCTATGGAGGGCATGGTGTCCGCCAGTCTGATTGAGTGGTAATCCTATGTAGGGCAG